TAGGGGGTGAGGGCATGTCCCTCTAGAAAACAAGATGTTTTCACACACAGACAAGGAAGTACTCTGTGTACACAGAAGCAGCCAAAAGTGGCTTGATTGGGAACCAATGTCAATCGGCACAGACAGGGCTGACCAAGGAGCTTGACCATGGGAGATACAGGCATGCCTATAACGCCAGCAGTGGCCCCAGGGACACAAACTGACCCTGCCAGCAGGGACCCTGTTCCCTGATTATAGTGCTTAGTATGAAAAAGAACCAAGGGCAATTGGAAGGATCACCAGGTATTTAACACTGCCAAATTAATTTTGAAATGACAGATTACATTTATTAAAATGTATAGGAGCAACACAACACATTATACTGAATTTTATTTTTGGAGGTAATGTACACTTTAGGAAAAATTGATCAGCAGTAGGGCTGTTTAGTGAGCACATGAAAGACAGAAAAGCTTAGACAGAAGGCAGGTGTTTTGTTGCACTAAAATAAAAGCATCCTCTCCCAGAGACAGAAAAACTGACCTGCCGCAAGATAATAGTTTAACATATTCACGTAGAATAGTCCAAAGTGTGCAGACACAGACCTTCCTATCCCATAGCACCATAGCCACACAAAGCATGGTGAGGCTGGAGGTGTTAAAGTGTTACTAAACCCAGGACCATGCATTATTATTATTATTATTCAGGATTTATATAGCGCCAACAGTTTACACAGCGCTTTACAACAAAAGGGCAGACAGTAAAATTACAATACAAATTAATACAGGAGGATTCAGAGGGCCCTGCTCATTAGAGTTTACAATCTAAGAGGGAGGGTTGAGAGATACAAAAGGTAATAACTGTGGGGGATGGGCTGATGGACAAAATACATGTACAGTTATTATTATTATTATACAGGATTTATATAGCACCAACGGTTTGCTCAGCGCTTTACATTATAGTGGGAGACAATACAGTAACAATACAGTTCAATACAAGAAGGATTTGAGGGCCCTGCTCCTTGGAGCTTACAATCTAGGAGTTGTTAGGTGCTTGCAGGATAGGCCTCTCTGAAAAGAGTTTTCAGGGATAGTTTAAAAGTGGACAGATATGAAGATAGTCAGACACATTGGGGAAGGTTCCAGAGGATAGGAGCGGCTCTAGAGAAATCCCTGGGGCGAGCATAGGAGGAGGTGACAAAGGAGCTAGAAAGCAGGAGGTCTTGGGAGGAATGAAGAGAACTATTTGGTTGGTATTTTGAGACCAGGTTAGTAATGTAACTAGGGGCTAAGTAGTGGATGGCTTTATAAGTTGTTGTAAGTATCTTGGATTTTATTTGTTGGAGGAGTGGGAGCCAGTGGAGGGACTAGCAAAGATGGGCAGCAGACACTGTACAGTTGGTAAGGTGGATGAGTCTGGCAGCAGCTTTCACGATGGACTGGAGGGGGGATAGCTTATGCAAAGGTAAGCCAGTGAGGAGGGAGTTGCAGTAGTCAAGGGGGGAGATGACCAAGGAGTGAGTTAGAAGCTTTTTGGTGTCAATGGTTAGGAAGGGGCGTATCTTGGAGATGCTGCGGAGGTTGAGGTGGCAAGCTTTGGACAGCGATTGGATTTGGGGCCGAAAAGATAGTTCAGAGTCCAGGATTACACCTAGCGCCCTGGCATGTGGGGACGGGTTGACAATTGACCCAGAGAAGAGGTTTAGATTGAGAATAGGAGGGGTCCCAGAACAGAACCTTCAGGAACCCCAATGGAGAAAGGAAGAGGAGAAGAGGAAGTAGAATTGTAACATTGAAGGTGCGGTGGGATAGGTAGGCTGAGAACCAACTAAGAGCACAGTCATGAAGACCAAAGGAGTAGAGTTTTTTTAGGGAGGATGGAGTGGTCCACTGTGTCAAAGGCAGCAGAGAGGTCCAGGAGTAGGAGTACAAAATAGTGTCCATTGGTTTTAGCCGTTAGTAGATCATTTGTAAGTTTGAGAAGAGCAGTTTTGGTAAAGTGCTAAGAGCGAAATCGAGACCGAAGGGGATCAAGAAGGTTTTTCTCAGTGAGGTGGTTGCTCAGCTTGTTGTAGACCAGGCGTTCAAAGAGTTTGGAGGAAAAGGGAGTAAGGAGATGGGTCGTAAGTTGTTAAGATTGGTGGGGTCTAGTGAGGGCTTTTTAAGTATGGGGGTGACTAGTGCATGTTTTAGATAATTGGGGAAGATGCCGGAAGAGCCAAAGGGTGACCGTAACATTTGTGACGGAACAGGGTCCAGGGGGAACGTGGTTAGGTGGGCGTTAGAAAAAATTTGGCAGTCTCGTCTTTTGTCGTGGGGCTGAATGAGTCAAGTAGGAATTGTCCTTGTGGATGTGGAGTGTTAAGTAGGGGAGGTATCTGCACGTCAGAGATCTCCTCACGAATTGTATTGATTTTCTTTCTGAAGTGATTGACGTTCTCCGGGGCAATGCATTCACTATATCTGGTCTCCCACAGTACACAGAACATGGAAATGCAATTATTTTAGTAAATATAAACTGCTAAATACCTTATCTCATCAGAAGCTAAAGCTGTCTTGTGACTTCTATCAGTTTTCAGCAGAGCACTGGTTTAAGCTTGTAGGAGGAGTTTTCACTAAGATGATGCAGATCCTCTGACCCCTGACTGGGCACATGCACTCTCCCAAGAAAAAAAGAATACCTCTCTAGCAATACACACCAAATTGAGCATGTGCAGGCTCTCCACAAAATATGTCAGGAGATAAGAGGGAGACACTGGAAGAATGGGAGGATTAGAGAAGTCAGGATCAAACAGCATTTTTACACAAAGCAGATGATTAACCCCTTAGGTTCCACAGTGAGTATAACAAGCATGCTTTACTGCATAGACTTATTTTGCTGTTGTGGGTTTCGTAACACTTTAAGGTTGGAAGAGACCATTTCAATTTTTATATTCATTACATCTTGAACACTAGGGTAAATGTCTGCTTATTCTGCTTTTGGTTTGGTTCTTGATATTCCTAGATATTTTGATGGAGAATGGCTAAACTGCCATTACACAGTAATTACCACCTCCTCACTGCCTGCCAGTCGTCACTGAAAAGCACTGTGACTGGAAGGAGAGTGCCTGAGATTGGTACATCAGGGATTTCTACAAATTCTGATCTGGTTTGAAGAACAGGTGCATGGCTCCTGGGGTTTGCAGCATTCAGGCGCTAACAAAGGAAGAACTTGGCCAGGTAGCAGATTGGTGGGAGAGCATCAAGATGTCTCCTAGGCAAAGCTCTCAATCATCTCCTCAGGCTATTTCCTTCCAGTTCTTGCAGCTCTCCACATGGACATCTGTCAGTATACCCCCATGAGCCTGTCAGCTTCTTCAGTGAGGAATGCTCACAGTGGAGGTCGGATAGGGGCAGATAAGGGCCAGATGTGGCCCTGGGAGTGCAATTTGCCCAGGTCTGATAAATATGCATGACTATCAGAAGGTTATTTTACTTAAACTACTTTGATAGTTGTTTCATACCAGTCCTAGAAGGTGTGCCCAGCTGTTTTTTCACTCTAGTCCTAGTCATGGGTTTTTATTATTTGGAAGGTGATTGCAGTTTCTTTTTTATTCTGTCCTTGTTCAATTCTCTTGTTTCAAAATGTCTTTTTCTAAGGAAATATGCTAAAACATGAAAGCATACTTTCAGCCAGTAAATCAATGACAAAAATTTGGGAAAGAAATGTGCAGAAGTATTTGATATTCTTAGACTCTTTCCTTTTACAGTAAACTTTCAGAGCATTTCTTTCAGCACAAAACCAAATAAACATCCAGTTGTACTGCAGCTCAATATTTTTATTAGATCTTTCAAAGCATGATGACAGATTAGAATGTCTGTCTTTTTTTTTTAAAGTATTAAGCTCCAAGCCGCATGTTGAGAAATCTTTAAGAAGTTACTTTAGATAAACTGCAACAAGTTCTCGGCTCTTTAGGCTCTTTAGCCGCTATCCATATGATTCTAGACCAGTGGTTCTTAACCTTGTTGGAGGTACTGAACCCCACCAGTTTCATATGCGCATTCACCGAACCCTTCTTAATTGGAAAAATAAAATATGATTTTTAAAATTCAAAACATAGGTATATATTTAGGTATATATTTATACATAGGTGCACAAAATGAACAAAACCGTTAAGAACAAAGAACAAAACCATTAAAACATGATTTTCACACAAAAACAAAAACATAATAATGAATATTTACTGCACGAATCATATGAGTCGGGTGTGGGTCTTCACCTCCGCCGTACATACGAGACTGACTCACCGAACCCCTGGGGTTCAATCGAACCCAGGTTAAGAACCACTGTTCTAGACTTTGTGCTCTGAATCTTCTGAATTGAAGCAGTTTGCTCCATAAATGTCTGTAAAGACTTCCCAACTATCCAGAACAGCATGCAGGAATTGAATGCATGTAGGTAATGGCTGAATGGGAGGGAGCCTTAAGATTTTGCTACAGCATATCTAGCAAGGTTGCCTCAGAGGTCACTGTAATTTAGACATTACGCTTCCCCTCCCAAAGTGCAGAACGAGTAGTGGAGTTCTTTCTTGGGTACAAGGGCCCATGGAGGTGGCTCTTGGCTTTGTGAGGCCTTAGGCAACATTGAGGCCCCACTCAGGCCCATCCGTCAGTCCGTCCGTCAGCTACGCAGTAGGCCTTCCCACACTGACATCCTTCTGTGGTGGATGGGAGGGGAGAGGTGCGCAGACGCAACGTCGCTCCTCATTGGCTGGCGGTCGGAGCTCCAGAAGTCTTAGGTTACATTACATGAGAGGTGAGTGTGACAGGGCTCTTAATGCTGCCTGTGCACAGCAGCATTAACCAGTTCAGTTCAAGATCAATTTTTTTTAATTTTTCACATACAATTTGAGAAAAACACAATATTTTTGACTTTTTCCTATTAAACATGTCCAGTAAAAAAATGTAAAAATCAAATTTCGTCATCAATTTAGGCCAAAATGTATTCTGCTACATGTGCTAAAAAAAAAAAAATCCCAATACGTATAAAATAAATGGTTTACATGAAAGTTATAGCGTTTACAAATGGCGGTATAGATACTGGAATTAGTTTTTTTATAACTAGTAATGGTGGCGATCAGCGACTTATAGCGGGACTGCGGTGGACATTCTGACACTGGGGGAACTGACTTGGTGTCACTGACATCCCCAGTGACACCAATACAGTGATCAGTGCTAAAAAAATCACTGACACTGTACTAATGGCACTGGGCAGGAAGGGGTTAACATGAGGGGCGATCAGAGGGTTAACTGTGTGCTGGGAGTGTTTCACTAAGGTCAGTGTGCTTCACTGTGATTACACAGCTCTGGATGGCTGTGCTGTGCACAGCTATCCAGAGCAGTGTGCCCGATCTGACAGGGAGGAGAACTGTTAGTAAACAAAAAAGTCCTCCTCCTCGTCAGAGATCTTCGGAAATCATCAGACGCCCGTGAGTAAGTACTGTCCGGGACCCGGTGATTTGCAGCGGCAGCCGTGAATGGTGGTGCGGGTAGGGAGTGCTTATGCCTTCTGCGTGCTCCCTACCAGGAAATGCAAAATCATGTATTTATATGTAATTTTGCACACCCGTGCCACCCTGTAGCAGTATTTCTGCTATAGGGCAGACGGGAAGTGGTTAAAGACTCAGCTGTTGGATTGTGAAAACAATTTGGTGAACCCTAGGTACATGAATGTACAGTAGTGATGGTCATCTCCATCCAGTGGCTGACCTGCACATTACGTAGTTCATTGTTATCCCACTAGCGCACGAGAAACCTTCAGAAACCTGAAAGGGGAAGCCCAAGGTTTTGACCACCTAGGGGCCTTCACAAAGTTTATTCCAGATCTGGATTCTGGCTTTATACTTAGGGTCAGAGACTATAGAATACTGTCATAGAGCAAGAAATGAAGATTCACTCTACTACAGCCTTTCTCAACCTTTTCAACACAGAGGAACTCTTGAAATAACTTTCCACTTTCAGGGAACCCCTGATAAAAAAATTACTATATCTACCACTCATGATACATTAGTGTGATGGTCAGTGGGAAGAATGTTCCTTACACTTGTTGTCACTGGGAAGAATTATCCCCTTAAAGATAGCTAAAAAGATCAATGGCGTCAGTGGAAAACCTACCTGAGAGTCAGAAATTGCTCATTGCTCAAGGAACCTCTAGCAACCTTTGAAGGAACCCTGACTGAGAAATCCTGCTCTACTAGTTACAGCCATGTGGTTGCATCAGAACATTATTCATTGCGTGTAGTATGTTGAAATTTTATCTGCTGCTCTTGTCCATTTTTTAAGGGATATCTTCATTCTTTAGCTTCTGTTCACTTATGAATGAAATGCTAAATACTATAGCAAGCATCATATACAGCACTTTCTTCCACCCACTGTCCTGGGTAACCCCTAATGTCTAGAACTGGTACAGAAAATTTCTGTCAGATATACATTTAGTGCTCTCAGCTATCCATGCCATTTTTGATATTTGACAGCTCTAATATATATAGCACTTTTTTTTTTTACTTAAAAGCAATGTTTATTTACTTAGCAAACATAAGCTAACAAGCTAGATATATGAAGGTTTATCTAAATGTTTATTTAATAGAAAAAGAAAATAAAATTGAAATCTGTATTGCTACAGACATCCAAACCCAGAAGGCATACAAGTGGGCAATTTAGGGGCTGCATTCAGTACAGCTGGTCACTGATCCACTGCCTCATCAATGACCTAGTAAAGGGGTCCTATGGAACTCTTTACTAGTTCACAAAAGCTTCACTTTTGCATCCAAGAACACATGCCCTTCTTCATCCCTTTCTGACCAGAAGAGAAGGATTCTCCACTAAAAGAACAGTTGAGGAATCCTGGGGACTGCCTAGGGTGTATTAAAGTCATTAAGGACAGGGCAAGTATTCTTTAGAATTTCTCACCCTTCTAATGGAGAATACAATTCCTATGATAAAAGAGGGATGGGGGAGAGTCTTCTCTTATGGAAATGTAAGTGTGGTGAGAATGGTGTCAGGGGACAGCTGATAAACTGGCAGTCATATACGTTTTTTGGAAAGAGTCTGGTGCTTTAGATAATAATAAAGCAATCTGATCAATAGATCAGATCAATAGATATAAAGTGATCTGTGGAGGTTTTCTGATATAAAAGTTAAAATTTTTGCATCTATGTTTTTTTAAATTGCTAGCTTTCACTTTCATCAGTTGGCGTAATACCTGTATTATTACACGAGACCATATGTATCACCCACTCATATAACTACTTGACTGTTGTAGCTATACAGTTTTTAACAAAGTATACAATAAAGCAGTCTGAACTGTGAGCTACAATTAGATCAATAAACAATCCTGGATTTGTACCAAGTGATCATGGATATCATAGCAACAGACAGAGAGAGATCAGAAAAAAGCTGAAGTCAGCAACGGAAAGTGTAAGCCAAGAGAAAAGCAAGGCTGAAGGTTAAATCATGCCAGCCTACAACAGGAAGTCCTGTAGGTCAAAGTTCATCATGCTAGGGTATAGGAAAAAAGCTGTTTTGGTGCACCTAGGCCACTATGTTGGCAAGCACATATGTAAGCAAGGCATGCCAGAACATATGTACATGTGTGTATATGCTATATAAGTGAGTGTGTGTATGTGAGCGTGCACACAGGTCTTGGCCTGAAAACAACGCTCATATATTTGTAATGATAAAACCGATCTCTCTAGCTGCAGACACCATGACATAATACATTCTTAAAGAGGATCTTCACTCCCTCCCTCTTTATGATTGTTTTTCCCCTGATACCTGTTTTGCTGCTTATACTCAAAAAACATTCTCACATGCCCAGTGAATCCAATGTCGTCTAGTGAAACCTACAATGCTGCACATCAGGTCTCCTGCCACCATCTGCTATGATGACATTATCAGGGGGCCAGGCGTCTCTTTAAGCCTGGGTTCACATATATGCGGTGCGGTATATCGTATGTGATTCGCACAGGAACTGCACCGCATTCCTGTGCAAATCACATGCAATTTGTGTGCGGTGCGATTGGAGCCATACATTTTGTATGGCTCTAATCGCACCGCACGCGCACCAAAAAGGTGCAGGACCCTTTTTTTGGTCCGCACTAGAATCGGATTGCATGGGTATTTACACTTATGTGCATTTTGCGGACCACTTTCAGGGTGTTGTTAACTTAACATACACACCCGCAGCAGTTCACATGAACGGGGTGCGATTCTGATGCGGTGTGGAATTCGCACAGAAAACGCTACAAATTCTGCACTGCATCAGTGTGAACCAGGGCTCAGGTTCTTGCATCCAACTCTTTGATGACACTCTGCTGCACATGCACAGTGTGCCTGAGATTGCCCAGTACATGCACAGTGTACTGCACATTTCCTCAAAACCTCCTGGGATGGATGACATGAGTATCCCAAGAGGCTTCAGGAAGGCCTAGGTGAGAAACCAGAAAATGAAGGGCTGGGGGACCTGCCAAAAAGGTATTACAAAAAAACAAAATGTTAAAAAATGTGCGTTCTGATGTTCAATGTAAGTTCTGTATAACAGGATGAAGGGGGAGGAACACAAATATGTATATTATCGAAAGAGAGTGGAGGTCTCATTTAAAGTTCAGAGAAAAAATATATTCACTTTCATTTTCTATGACAAGATCTTTTTTTCTCACTCTCAGCCTTATAGGCTATAATGTAACTGTAGAGAAGGCGCACAAAAAAGATAGAATAGCAAAAAGCCCGTCCAGACTTGAGCGACTTCACCGGATTTGTAGATGAATTACTCCACTGTGTCTTTGAATATAAAGGTCAGTGAGGGCTTGGATTAAAGCTAATGTACTGCTTGTAAAGGATATGTAATTAATTTAACCACTTCCTGTCCGGACACTTTTACCCCCTTCCTGTCCAGGGCAATTTTCAGCTTTCAGCGCTATCACACTTTGAATAACAATTGCGCGGTCATGCAACACTGTACCTATATGAATTTTTTTTTACCATTTTTTTTAGACAGATAAAGCTTTATTTTGGTGGTGTTTATTCACCGCTGGGATTTTTATTTTTTTTGCTATGTAAATGAAAACGTCCAAAAATTTTTTGAAAAAAAGTTTTTTCCTTATAATCTTTCATCATAAATCTTGGCCGAAATGTATTCCGTTATCTTTTTAGTAAAAAAAAAAATAAGCCAAATTAGTTTATAACCAAAAATTATAATTTAAAAAAACATTTTTTACATTTTTATTTATTTTTTTATATTATTATTTATTTATTTTACATACTGTCACCCTAGCAGTACAGTGTCACCATGGTGACACTGTACTACTTGTGGGGGGTGATGAAGATTTTTTTTTTTTTTTTTTTATGCAGTGATTGCTTTTACACCGATATAGGATGTAAAAGCAATCATTTCTCTCTCTCTGTCTGCATTCTTGCAGCCATTGAGAACTACTGAGTGAGCTGTGATTGGTCACAGCTTGTCACAGGGTACAAGGCTGTTGTGAATAGCCTTGTACCATGTGACCTCTGTGATCATTCACAGATTTCACTAGGAGTAAGCAATGATGTCACAAGTGACATCTTGCTTACTACTTTGCATGTGATCACTGATTGGCCAATCAGCGATCACATGATCGGGACCTCGTACAGAGGTCCCGTCCGTCGATCAGTGTTTCACTGTGTCCGGAGGACACAGCCGGCACCGGATCGTGGTGCTGCGCGCTCCCAGGGAGCGCGCACAGCTAGAAATGGCGGGTGCCGTTTATGAACAGCAACCTGCCCCTGGAGTGCCACCGTCCTGCCGTTTATAAACAGCAGGCGCACGGCAAGGGGTTAATGTCTATAGCCTGGCCACAGTTCTTTTTTTAATGTTCATTCTATTAATTTTGTCAGTGCCTCACAGAAAAAAAAAACATTGTTCGGCCTGCCACACAAGCAACAACTGCTTGTATGGAATACTAAAAATTTGGAGGAATTCTTCCAATTCTCAGATATTTTTACTTACTTCTGCCAGTTCTGACACATCTTTTCTCCCTCATCCAATAACTTTTACTAGTGTCTGTTACAAATGATATTAGTTAAAAAGTTTGGAGGAAAAAGTGGATCTTCAAATTTTTGACAGATTGCATTTTATTCACTGCAGTGCATACAATGATTATTGGAGCTCTGTACATACTCTATGAGATCCTATTGCAACAAAGTCAAAAAGTAGAACACGTGTAGCTGGCAAAGTAAGAATTGTTCACTATTAGGATTGCATATGTATGACAAGCTTAAACACTCAGCTGACATCAGGACAGCAGCTGTAACTAATAAACTTAAAAAAACAATATGAGGAATTTAAATAATTGATGATGCCAATGGTATAAATATCCCTGCAG